ATGAACATAAAATATTATACTGTAAGCCTGTACAATTAAACATGGAATAACACAACATAATATAGTTTGCTTCATGTTCACAGAACCTTATTCCTGAATGCATTTTCCCACTACAGTAACTTGTGCCGCAACAAAACGGAAACAGATTATATTTGTTATTATGTTGCACAACAATAATTTGTTATAACAATTTCCGGCGGCCATTTCACATAATAAGCACTTTTACTGCATATAGTACATTTAGCTGAAAAATACTTGTACTAGTAGTTCACCAGTAGTGTACTTTTTACTCAAGAAGAGTTTTTAATGTAGGACTTCCTTATAACAAACTTTACATTATTAACTAACATACAGCTGCATGTTCAAATAGTTGAACTAGATAATGAATAGAAATAATAATAGAAAAACAATGCAAAAAAAAAAGGTCTTTGTTGACGTTCACAAGATTTGCATTCAGTGTTTTTCTGTTGACTTCTTCTCTAGGCATCACAATTCATGAGGAGGACTATGGGGACACAATCAGAATATGGCTGTCCACAACGGCTGTATCACTGGAGTTCACCCCGATCGACAGCTCCGATGTGATAATCTTGTGGAAGCGTGATGACCCCTCAGCCCAAGAGGACCAAAGGAGGAAGGAGATGGGCAACTACTTTATGATATATAATTCAACCCAGGGAGACAGTGGTGGCTACAGAACAAAAGACAAACATGGGCTCAGTTTATCTTACACATACATTAGGGTTGTAGGTGAGGATTCTTATCAATTCTCAATTTATCTCATTTCCTTTCTTTCCTTTCTTCTTTTTGTCAAGACACTGTGACTGTATAACTCTTCACTTGGTAGTTTGGACCTTTTAAGTGTGATATTATACCAACTGTAGGTCAAAATACTAAATAACATCAACTAAAAATGTCATGGTCCCACAGTTTTTTATACTGGTGCATGGCCTTATGGCTCAAGTTAATACTAACTAACTAACTTAAATAACTCTAAAATGCACGATAGTCAACCTAAAGAGAAGACTGTATTTGATTTATTTTGAACTCTAAAGTCTTTATGACTTGTGACTTCACTTGAACTCTTTTGACCTGAAAATACTTGATACGTCCCCCCAAGCCAAAAGTTTTAAAAGTATGTTATTTAAAATGGGTGCCACAAATCAATTCATTTCAACTGACTTAAACTCTGTTAATTCCCAGCAAGACGATGTTCAGTTCTACTTTGTTTGAACCGACCTGACTGCACCCAGTCAAGTTGCAGGAGAGAACCATAAAGAAACTAAACATTTCGTATAACTGAGGGCCAATTTGTAAAAAAAAAAAAAAAAAAATGACTAAAGAGAATTTTGTTTTGTTCATTGTTTTGTTAAAATGGCATTTTATTTGGTGAAGAGCAGATTACGACTTGTTTTGGACTTGAAACTCAAGGTTTGGGACCTGGAACTTGACTTGGCACTTGAGATTTACTAGTGACTTGCAAAATAATGACTTGGTCCCACCTCTGGTGTTTATACTCAACCTATCTGTAGTATGAACTGAATGTAGGATGAGAGTTTTATCTGTGTTAGTGTCAATACTTTGTGTCAGCTTGTTCGAGACGGAGATTCAACAGTCTCAGCTTTTATAAGTGATTCAATCTGAATACTTCAGAATCAGTTTCTTAACTTTCTTACCTAAACCCCAAGTAGTTTGATCCTTCACAGAATACAACAGCTTGGGTTCAAAAGCATCAAAAAGTCATTACAAATCACTTCTGCAGCGTAATTGTAGTGTACCTACTTACTTACTACGACTAAGATACAAATGTTTTGGAAAGTGAGCATATGGATGGAAACTTATCTTCATTGAGGTCCAACGTACCTGACATGAATTTAAAGGAACAGTTCCCCATTTTTGGGAACGTTGGTTATTCACTTCCTGCTGAGAGTTAGATGAAATGATTGAAGCTGCTCTCTCATATCTGTACAGTTAATATGAAGATACGATTAGCTTAGCTTAGCACAAAGACTGGAAACAGGGCTAACCTAAAGGTAACAAAAATCTATCTACCAGCCCTTGTAAAACTTGATGACAAGCTGCAGTTTTAGCGGGAGTTTTATGCCGGACAGGATTAGGTGTTTCCACTTTCTGTGCCATGCTAAGCTAACCATCGGCTTTATAGTCACCATACAAAAAGGAGTGAGGTATTGACATTCTCATCTAACTCTCTGCAAGAAAGTGAATATTTTTTATGAAAATGTTGGGCGATTCTTTTAGGACAATCACAGGTGCAGTGCCATGTGAAAGAAAAACCTAGAAACTCACACTAAGAACCAAGAATAAACAGGTTGTTTGCTGCTCAAAAGATTTTGGGTTGATAATCACTTTGATATGCTCTGTCTTGTGTGTCCTCTCTTCCAGCAATAAAGAAGTTGTATAAACCGCAACCTGGTAACATGATCAAGTTCGTTTTCCCCCTGGAATTAAACTCCTGCAACATTCAGTTCTTCCAAGAAGGTGACGAAAGAGGGACTGACATGGTCAAGAATGGCGTGCGGCTGTATTTCGATAAATCTCAATGCGCAGAGTGGGAGATGTTAAGGCCATGTAGCCTTCAACTAAAATATGCCGAAACGGCATGCAGCGGGCGCTATCTGGGCGTAGATCAAAATGGCCATACAGCCTTAGAGGCGACACTGGAAGTGGAGTGTAAGTAACCTGTGTGTTTTAGAATAAGTGTCAGATGACTGTTATTGATTACAGATATACATACATGATTAATCAATTATCCCAGTTTTTGTTGCCAATACATTTTTTCGACTAATTTAAACTTATTGTTTCAGCAGCATCTTCTGATACATCTCCAATCGGTGTTGGACTTGGTATTTTCTTTATTGTAATGGGCTGCTGTGGCTGCTTGAAGCACTGCTGCTGTGGAAAGAGCTCCTCCAAAAGTGACGAACCTGAGACTCCGGATGAGGAGCCTGTAGTGCAGCCCCGTCAGGTGAACGCATTCTGCATTAAAGTTACCTGACACTTCTGTGTGTGTACATTGATGTAAAGTTACATGTCCTGCTGTTGATACTATGTGCATATTGTGTTTCTGTTTAATTCGACCTGCAGTATGAACATAAGCCTGTTGGACCGATCAGAGAACCACTGAGTCCTCCTGCTGAAACACACTACCCTGCTCTGCCCTCGTATGCTCCGACTGGTCCATTGGTTAGTGTGTGTTGCATTTCATAGAGAGAACTCCTCCTTTCTTGTTTATTCGCTTCCCTAGCTTCTACTAATGTGTTATGTGTCACTTCACTCTGCAGATACATAATCCTCCTGCAGTGGATGCACCGCCGTCTTATTCTGAGGTATGATCTGTTGTTCATGTCACATATATTTACAGAACAAATTGGGATTTCTTAGTAGCTCTCCAGTGTGTTGTTTGTGCTATTGTGTTTCTTTAGATTAAAGGTGAAATGTGGCTTATTGTGTGTAGCCTTGAGGCCTAACACATGTGTTGGATGCATTTTCTTCCTCAAAAAACATTTATATCTTATACTTTGACTGGTCCATTGGTTAGTGTGTGTTGCATTTCATAGAGAGAACTTCCCCTCCCTTGTTTATTCGCTTCCCTAGCTTCTACTAATGTATTATGTGTCACTTCACTCTGCAGATACACATTCCTCCTGCAGTGGATGCACCACTGTCTTATTCTGAGGTATGATCTGT